ATATTTAACTCTTGTCCCAATTTTACCTTTTGTCTAAAAAAAAAACCTCTAACTTAAGGCCATGTTCAAATTTTATCCTAAACTTTATTTGTCCCATAAAAACCCTCCAACTTTAGGTCAAGTCCCAATTTTATCTTAAATTTTTTTCTCATAAAAAATCCTTAAGCTTTAGATCTAATATCAATTATGCCCTAAACTTTTTTTGTCTCATAAAAAATCTCAACTTTAGGTCCACTTTTAATTTCAACCTAATTTTTTTTGTCTCATAAAAGATTACTAACTTTTACTTGAGTCTCATGTCTGCTCTCCATTAATCCTCCGTCAAAATCACCTTTAGTGATTTTGCATCCATCGATCTTTTGTGCTTGGGATTGTTCCATCTCTCACGTTCGAGACTCTCGAATAGCTTGTGCTTGGGAGTTTTCCATCTCTCAGTTGTCAATAAGAAATTTTGGATGGAGTGTTAATGAGGACAAATTTATGAACTCAAATAAAAGTTTGTGGTTGTTCATAAGACTGTAAAAATTTTAGAGTAAAATTGGGCTAAGAAGTAAAGTTTGGGTTTTTTCACAGGACAAAAAACGTTTAGAATGAAATTGGAACTGGACCTAAAGTTAGAGATATTTTATGAGAGAAAAGGTAAAATTGAGACAAAAGCTAAAATTGATTAACCTTTGTGTAAATAATTCTATGCACGTGGATCCAATAGACTCACTTTATTGGACTTAGCCCATTGCACCCATTTCAACGTCCGGTCCAAAAGCTTTGCACATCTACTTTATTAAGGCTCCCCCCATAGCTCTCTCTCTCTCTCTCTCTCTCAAAAAATCTCCCTCTTTCGAAAAAAAATTACTTTTCTCGTTCTCTTTCAAAACAAATTTATTTTTGTCCTTCTACTTTTGTTACTTTTCCAATTATTATCCTTACACTTTCAATTTTTCTAATCAAATTCAACTGATATAAAATTCAACCAAATCCAATTGATGTGGCTGTTAAAAGACATCTCTCTCGAAAAATCTCTCTTTCAAAAAAAATTACTTTTCTCGTTTTCTTTCTAAACAAATTTTCTTTTTGTCCTCCTACTTTCTTTACTTTTCCAATTATTGTTCTTACACTTTTTATTTTCTTAATCAAATTCATCTGATATAAAATTTAGCCAAATCAAACTGACGCGGTTGTCAAAAGACGCCCTAGTGTGATAATAAAATTAGGACAAAAGCTTAAATTGGAAGTTTTTTAAGGGTCTTGGGCCAAATTTTTTGTGTTTCGTGCGCATGGAAAACGAAAAAAACAAAATGGTCGTCACGATGTGGAAAAACCTTAAAGTGTCACTCAAGTCCAAATTCCGATACAAATTGAATGATGACAAATGGGTCCACCCTGAGAATGAAATTACTTAATATATCCTTTTTGTTTTTCACCTTAGTAACATCATCAACTTGTGGACATCTATGTCCATTTACGTCCGAAAGCTTAAGACTAGTCATGGCCATGGTTCGGAACCGGCGGTTCCGATTCGTGGCCATGTGTGAACCGGAACCGACCGGTTCCGGTTTCGAACCGGCCAGTTCCGGTTCCGAACCGGTCGGTTCCGATTCGTAATTTAAAATTTTAAAAAATAAATTATGAAATAAAAAAATAATGAATTATAAAAATATGAAATAATGAATTATTCAATATAAATTATAATCAAAATGAAAATTGTAGGGGTGATCGGTTCCCGATTCCAACCGGGAATCGAACCGGTAAGACCGGTCCTTTGATTTTAGAACTAGGAACCGGACCGGCAAATCATAGAACCAAGAACCGGACCATTGGTCCAGTCTAGTTCTAGGCGGTCCAATAGAACCCTTTGCTCTTAACTAGCAAAGGATCGTAGCCACAAAAGGCGGGGTAAGAACAGCATTAGTGCCAAAACTTGTGTACGGAGGCCACTTTCATGCCAAAAGTTCCATTTGGATCACTTTAGTGCCAAAAAATTTGAAAAACGATCTTTTAAGTGCCAACTCCGATCTGATCGGTCAGAAATCTGACGTGGCAATTTTTTATTAGTATTTGAAGCCGACGTGGCTCGCCGGAGATACAATGAACACGCACAGTCAGCATTTTTTATTTTAAATAATTTTTTTTTCTTTTTTTCCTTTTTATTTCTTATTTCCTTCTTTTCTTTTTTCTTTTATTTCTTCTCCCTTTGGTCACCGCCGGTGACCGGAGGCCGGCCACCGGCCGCCTGGCCTCGCCCGGACGAGGCCATCGCCGCCCGCCACAGGCGAGGCCCGGCCGACCCTCGCCTGGGCGACGGCGGGCAAGCCCCGGCGAGGTCGGCCTCGCCTCGCATGGGCGAGGGCGAGCCCCGGCAAGGGCTTCCCTCGCCAGATCCGGCGAGGCCGGCAGGTCGCCTAGGCCACGGCGGCCCCGCCGGACGTTGCCCGGGAAGGCGACGCCAGCCGGGCCGCCGTGGCCTAGGCGACGGCCGGCCTCGCCGGATCTCGGCGAGGGGAGCCCTCGCCGGGGCTCGCCCTCGCCCATGCGAGGCGAGGCCGACCTCGCCGGGGCTTGCCCGCCGTCGCCCAGGCAAGGGTCGGTCGAGCCTCGCCCGGACGAGGCCGCCGCCGCCCGCCACAAGCGAGGCCGGCCGACCCTCGCCCGGGCTACGGCGGGGCTTGCCTCGCCGGATCTCGGGAGGGGAGCCCTCGCCGGGCTCACCCTTGCCCATGCGAGGCGAGGCCGACCTCGCCGGGGCTTGCCCGCCGTAGCCCGGGCGAGGGTCGGCCGGGCCTCGCTGTTGCGGGCGGCGGCGGCTTCGTCCGGGCGAGGCCAGGCGGCCGGTGGCCGGCCTCCGGTCACCGGCGGTGACCAAAGGGAGAAGAAAGAAAAGAAAAAAAGAAAAGAAGAAAAAAAAGAAAAAAATTCAGAAAAGTATTTAAAAAATCGAAATATATACGTGGAAATGCCACGTAGATTAATTTTTTTAAAAAAAAATCCAACTAAGATTAAAAATTTAATTATAAATGCCACGTATTAATTTGGCCGGAATTTCTCGCCGTTGACACCAAAGTGATCATTTTTCCTCCGATTTGGCATTAAAATGATCCAAATGAAACTTTTGGCACCAAAGTGGCCTCCGTACACAAGTTTTGGCACCAATGCTGTTCTTCCCCCCACAAAAGGCATACAACTTCACATGCTCATGGCTTGGCTTGGGTTTTATAAACAATCCCTTTGATGGTCTTTTCATTCCCATTTGATGTGTGACTCTTGACATTTGCATGAAGACAAGCCAAGAGTCTCACATTGAAGGTGTTCAAGGCAAGCCGAGAGTTCCATATCGAATGGGAATGAAAAGACCATCAAAGGGGTTGTTTATAAAACCCAAGTCAAGCCTTGTAATTAGAGTTTAATACACCCAAGTCAAATATTGTAATTGGAGATTAATGCACTTACAATGCATGGCAATTAGAGTTCAATTTGTTTTATAAAAAAAAATTAAATAATGAATTTTTTTTAATTTCATTATTATTATTATTTTTTAAAAATAATTTGGAACTGGAACCGGAACAGGGCCCGTTGGCCACGGGTCGGTTCCGATTCCGAATCACGGGCCTAGTCAATGGGCCGGGCCCGAGTTTGACCGGGCCGATTTCGGGTCGAAACCGGTCCGTGACCATGACTACTTAAGACTAGCTGAAACTACCGGGGGGAGGGAATTAGACCGGACATCGCCTGGTAATGACTAAATCTTTGTAAGATTTCGTTTGTCTGTAAATTTGTCTGTCGAACTTTATCGATTTGAGGGCCCAAAGTGAAATGAAAGTGAAATGCAAGTGGTTGACAGCATGAGCGGCTCTCGAATTCAGCATCTTTCCCGTTTGGAGACGGCGCCTGATTAACTCCAAAAGAAACTATAGCAAGGCACTGAGCTTGCGTGGCTATTTAATTTATGGGCTAATATTACGAAAAATTTCGAATTAATATGTTTATGATAAATTTATTCTAAATTAATTTTTTGATCATAAAAAATTTCGAACTGATACACCTGTGCAAACTTATGCAAAATTAATTTTTTTAATCACCAAAAATCCTAAACTAATACATTTGTGATAAATTTACTCTCCGTTAAATTGAATTAATATCACAAAAAATCAAAAATTAGTAAACCTGTTACAAATGAAGGGTAAAACCCCAAATTAGTATACCCATCAATTGTCACGTGTCATCCAACTCAGAAATTTAACGGTAAAATTTAACGAAAACAAACGGATGGAAAAATTATCACAAGTGTACCAGTTTAGGATTTTTCGTGGTAAAAAATTAATTTGGGATAAAGTTGTTATATGTGTACCAGTTTGGGGTTTTTCGTGATATTAACCCATAATTTAATTGATGAGGAGACACAGGAGTCATTGATAATAATAACCAAATAGTTTTAATTTTCTTTTATGGCATTTTATATAATACATGCATCGCCAAATTTAAACAGTAGGACTAATGATTGTATGATCTAGGTGATGTCTGAACACCATCTACCATGCAGAATTTAATTTTGTAAATGACATGAGTAGCAGGGGATGATGATTCGGTTTGAAAAGTAGAAGCTTTTCTGGCCAAGGGTTTGGTAGAAAATAGAAAGAAGTAGATATGCTACCGATATACTTCGACATTAACAAATTTGTTGAAAATAAACTAGACGGGCACATCTGTAATAATAGAATGAAAAGGGAGTTAATTAATGCAAAATATTTAGGACTGAATTGGTATCAATGCAAAAGTTTAGGACTGAATTGACACCAAAAAAAGGTTTAGGCTTAAATTGGCACAAATATAAAAGGTTTAGGACTGAATTGACACAAAAAAAAAGGTTTATGACTAAATTAGTACAAATGCAAAAGGTTTATGACTTTTTTTACACTTTTCCCTTTACAAGCACAAATAACCAGAGTCACATCTATTTCTTTTTTTGGTAGAACAGAGTCATACCTTTTAGTTGTTGAAATTTGCAGACTAGAAGCAGATCTCATCGAATCCGTTGTGGAGAAAATCTCAAGAAGACTGAGCTGCTCATACACGAGCCTATGTTTCCATCCAGTTGGGTTAGATTCTCAGGTACAAGCCTTGCTGTCCTTACTCAAATTAGAGGTTCAGGACGTCCGAATCCTGGGCATTTGTGGCACCAGAGGGATAGGTAAGAGTACACTGGTGAGGTCTCTATACCACCAAATTGCAGATCAATTTGATCGGAGTTGCATTCCTGCGAATGGCAAGGATATATCGAGTCTAGATGGCCTCGTCAAATTGCAGGAGACCCTTTTTGGTGACATTCTCAGCGATGGAGTTTCGGAGTTTGGCAACGATATTCATGTAGTAATAAACTTCACGAGGAGCAAGCGTCACAACAAGAGGGTTCTGTTGGTGATCGATGATGTTGAAGGGTTGTGGGAGCCACTGAGCCACCTGATCGAGGCAATAAACTTAGGCTTGGGAAGCAGAGTTATTTTGATCCCACGACATGAAGGAACCTTAACGGGTCTATACGGGGAAATCTATAAGGTAAGACCATTAAATGATGATCAAGCTCTCGAGCTTTTCAATTGGAATGCGTTTCAAGAAAGATATCCCAAAAATGATTATAAGATGCTCTCAAATTGTTCCGCTAATTTTTCTAAAGGGCTTCCTTTAGTACTGATCGTGATGGGTTCTTTCTTGAATGGAAAAAGCGTCAAGGAATGGCAAGGAGCTTTTGATCAACTGAAAGAAATCCCTCAAGGAAAGGTTCATGAAATACCGAGGATTGTTATCGATAGCTTAGAGGCTAACGAGAGGACGATTTTCTCGACATTGCGTGTTTTCTTAATGGATATGACAAAGAAGAAATCATCAAGTCCCTAGATCAATGTTGTGTCCATGCCAATAGTGGCATCGAGATTTTCACTCAAAAGTCCCTCGTATACATCAATGAATATAACAAAGTATGGATACATGATTTGCTTCAAGAAATGGGTAGACGAATCATGATTCAAGAGTGCTCTGATAACCCCAGCAAGCGAAGCAGAATATGATGCCATGAGGATGTTCTACAAGTGGTTAGACAAAATTCGGTAAAAGTTTAAGCATGTCCTAGATAAAAATTAATTTGAACACATATTTATGCCTTCTTTTTGTGGACTTCGCATTTACATGTGGTGTAAGAAGCTTTAGATTGCATAATTAGGAGAGACACATGTGCAATTTAATTTTTGTCAATTAGGGTATAAGCAAGAAATTAGGTTTTGAGTATCTTTATTTCAAGCTTTGTCAATTTTCATACTTAAATTGACATTGTTTACTGTTGGATTAACGGTTATCTAACCTAGCATAATACCTCTTATTTGTTCTAGATGAATACATCTTCTTTTAGAAACTGCTTGTGTTATGATGGTTTTTAGACTAGCACGGTCTTAATACGAATATAAACATTATTATTAGCGTTACACTTGTTTTTTGATATGTATAAATTATCTTTATTTGGCTGTAACAGGGAACAGATGCCATTGAAGGCATTAAACTAGACAAGATTGATGTAGAAGACTTGATCTTGCATGTAGACTCGTTCAAGAAAATGAAGAGGCTTAGATTATTTATAATGGCCGATCAAGTCCCTCATTGTGGACCGGCCGGGCATCTATCGGAAAAGTTGCGGACGCGCTTCACACGGAACGGGGGTATTATGCTAGCGTGTTGGGAGCCACTGGTGAAGAGAATTTCCAAGTTCTGGTCTCGCGGAGGTTGAAGATGAAGATCAACAGATGCTAGGGGTGGCATTTACATAAACTACTAAGAAAATAGAGACCTAGAAACAAAAAAGGGTTGACCTTCGTGTAGATATTTTACCGAATTTTGTGCTCGAGGGACTTGATTAAATATTTCGTATGAGTAAAAGAACTTCATAAGAAAAATGGAGACCGCAGGGACTTGGCCAGCACAAGTAGATCTCCGTCTCTCCCAATCCTTGTGAGAGGAAACGATTACACAATCCCATGAATCATGACGATAGTGTTTTGCCGAAACAGGATCGTCGACGAAATACCTTTCACCGAAATTCATTTTTTGATGTTTATTAAAGAGAAGATGGGTTCTGTAATAATTCTGGATATGAGTCGTATCAATGGGATATAAGGAACAAATATGATTCAATGGAATTTAATCAACGATGAAGCCCAATGACATAAAAAGCTTCACTGGAATTTAATCGATGACAAAGTGCGATACCACGATGGAATTCAATCGACGACAAAGATCTGAAAATCGCAACTAAGATACAAGTTGGAATTTAATAGATGACGAATTATCAGAAACTAAGATAAAGTACGGGAATGGAAAGAAATTTGAATTGTGGAAAAGATAAATTACAGAAAGGTAAAGATAAAAATAAATTTGCGAGAACATTAACTTCTTTGATTCATTGGAGATAGATCTCTACATGAATACACTTCGGGCATTTATAGCCTAACATAGTCTATAACCGCTAAGAGGTTATTATTTGAATCTTTGGGTGTAACTTCCTTGCCACGATCTTAGGCTTCATAACTCCAGTATGAACGGCTATTACTTGAATCTCAAGCGTAACTTCCTTGCCACAATCCCAGACTTCATATCTCCATGTAGTCCTTATCCGAAGCAATTTCAAATGTCTTCAATACTTATCTTGAATATTAATTATGTGGTTAAACTGTTATCCACTAATTGCCATCATATATTGATAACAATAATTAGTGGTTGACACATAAATTTTGACAACCCATTTAGTTATTCATTGCATAGAAAATTAGGGATCGACCTGTCCCCTAAATAAATATATTAATTAAATTGCATATAGATATTAGGAGCATTTGCATTAATAGTTAATTAGGCCCATATAGTTTGCATATTAATTGGACCGATAGTGGATGGGTCTAAGTGGATGGTCTTGAACTTAATGGATTAGACTGAGCCCACAAGAGCGTTAAATTTGGGCCAAGCCCGTGGGATACATGACGGCTCAAATTTGCATTATAATTTCCTAGTTGGAATAATTGATTTAGTATTTGGAAATATGATTTAGTTTATTTTGTGGAGATTCGAGTGGAGGAAATAATTGGAAAATTTGCCTAAAGTTTGAAAGACAAGAATAGGAAATTAAAACCATAGACTTGGCCTATATAAAGAGGGGTTTGTTCACAATTGAGAAGGGGGCCACACAATTGACATTCACGGCCAAGTTCCATTGAAAGACAATACAGCATTGGGTTGTCCTGGACCTCCACGTCATCAATAGTCCCCTGTAATAGTTGAGCGCCACGTGTCCTGTGGGGGCCCACGTCTCAAACTTTTTAGAACTCCCTTCTCAGTCACACGCTCCTTTTCGTAAATACCCTCAACTTCATCTTTCCTTTCCCTTGACAGAACCGCCATAGCGTAAAAGCTCCCGACAACCAAGCTTCAAAGCTCCACAATCTAAGGATCTCCTTGGCTAGAAAAACGATAGCCATCACTCTGAGAAAATGGCGACCAATACGATCCCAATTGAACTCACCAAACTCTCCCCCTCTCGCCGCTTGTTCTTTTTCCTCCTCTCTCTCCGCGGGAGCCTCCTCCCCGCGCGAGCGTCCATGGCAACACGCGTCGCTCGCGACAGCGGCAAGAAGCTCACTGTTCTGGGGGCGGAGGAGTTCGGAGAAGTGGGCCTCGAGCTCCTTCGAAGCCATGCCTACGTTGTCGACTACTCCGTCAATCTCGAACCTGAGGAGCTCCGAGATAGGGTCGCGCTCTGCGAGGATCTGATCGGGAACAGTGAGAGGAGGTGGGCGAGGAAGTCTTTCGGTCGTCCCACGGGAGGTTCAAGGTGGTCGGAATCTCCGGGTTTGGCATGACGATGTGGATTTTGCGGCGGCGAAGTGCTTGGTGGTGAACGCATTGAACGCGAGTATGGCAGCGGTCGCTGAGCAAGCGATCGTGGTCTTGAGGGTCGTAATAAAATATCTTTGAAGTTAGGGGTGTTTGTGGCGTTTTGAAGCTTGGTTGTCGGAAGCTATGGCGGTTCTGTCAACGGGAGGAAGATGAAGTTTGGGCGTATTTACGCAAAGGAGCGTGTGACTGAGAAAGGGAGTTCTGAAAAGTCTGAGATGTGGGTCTCACCGGACACGTGGCAGTAAACTAATGGAGGGGACTATAGATGACGTGGAGATCCAGGACCACCCAATATTTTCTTGAATGGTGGTGATATTCCAGGTGAAAGAGGATGAAGATGACTACCAAAAATCCTTTTTTCTCTCTAGTAATTTTCTTCGCACTGATCTAAGCATGATTGCGCCATTCAAATCTATCTTCAAGCTGAGATCAGCATCAACCATCTCCATCAAAACCAAGACCCAGAAGACTCTCCACCGATCGTGTCTTCAGATACGCACATCAATGTAACCAAAAACACGCAATCGCGTCCACCAACTCCGTCACCGAATCTATTGCCGACTGCCTCTGAGTTCTCTCCAGTAGACAGAGATTGGTTTCGCCAGCGCCGGATCGTTTCTGGCGATGATGAGAAGCTCGAGAGCTTGAGAGAGAGAGAGAGAGAGAGAGAGAGAGAGAGAGAGAGAGGGATTGATTCTGCACCGTGTTTAGCTTTTGGCGAAATGGAGCGAGAGAAGCCCCATGGACGACAGATGAATTCAGTGAAGAGAGGGACAGTGGGACCACGACGAGCCACATGTCGTCAACTGAGTGGTCCGGGACCACGCTGACGTGGAGGTCCCGGACCACCTAATACAGCAGGCTACAGGATACAGACGGCACGAGAGAGAGAGAGAGAGAGAGAGAGAGGCTTTCGTAACAAACACTGGGCTTCTCGATTTACAACCGTTCGTATGCTCAGTGCGCTTCAGGGAAGAAGACGATTCTTCCTTCAAAGCTGTGGACTTCCCTCCACTCGTTCGTGGCCGCCTCCTCCGCGTCCAACGACTCTCAGTATCTTGCGGACACCGTCTTGCCCGACACGTCCCGACGCTCGTACCCTCTGCCCGGCGTAACAGACGCCACTGTCGCTTGGCACCAGTGAGTTCCCCAGCGCATCGACGAGTCTCGGTGAATCAACTCTAGGGCGAGATCTCAGACCAGTGCAGCAGCTCTCGACGGGCACCAATCTGTCCCGGCACTTCCACGGCACCCACGAAGTTTCCCGTAACACGCCTGGCTGCGGTGACCACCAGTTCATGCCATCGTGTCCTCTGAACCTCCAGGCTGCGCAGCCAGCGCATCAGACCAGATCTCAGCCACGCCTACCAACACCTCCACCTCTCGCCGTCGAAGCCCAGTCCACTAGCAGCCACCAGCAATGCCAGTGAGCGTTTAGCACCTCCCCAATGTCGTCGACATTTTCCTGCATCCCCAGCGACAACCGCGGATTCCAGTCACACTCGCTGAAGCCAGGAACTTTGGCATTTATCCCTGCAGCGACTTGACAGTGCCGGGCAGCAATCCCAGGCGGTTTCCGGCGAGTCCAGCCTCTCTGCGAGCCAGCCAGACCCCAAAGCCAGCCACCGTGAGTCCTTGGCCGAGTCACGCCGCCAATCACCACCGTTGAGCATCGCGAGCCACCACGGGCCACTGTCCAAGCCGTCCATCCGTCGGTTCAAATTTGGCAACGTTATCAAACGATTAGCTTACTAA